TAGTTATTGGTGAGAACTAGAAATCCCTTTCTGGGTCCACCCATGAAAGTAATCAGACAAGTTCTGCAGATACCCTGCTCCTTTCAGGGGAAAAGCTACCTGCAGAAGACAAACACACACACACAAAACAACCAAACAAAAAAGCACTCCCCTCCCAATCCACACCAGACTACTTTCCTCTGCAAGGGAGCTTTCAGATAGCTCAAAGAGATTTTTACTTCCTCTGAACCCCTAAAATACTGATTGTTTGAGTCATATATTTGACTATTATATTGTGCAATGTGGCAGCTCTAGTATTGTCATTTCAATCTTGTAGGCTCTTATATGTCATATCTTTGCTATGTAAATTTTCTATTGTTGTCCATGTCTAAACTTCCACATAGAAACAATATTATACACTCCAAATAAGGAAAGAACTGTACTATGTAGACCTTGGCATTTTTCGTAGGCTTGCACAAAGGAGGTACACAATAACATTTTCATGAATTCATTGATTCTCCAGCTATGGTTAATCTTAATCAATGGTATGAAGAAAAAAAAATGCTGGCTTTTGCAGTGCTTCAAGACTCTTTCATTATATCCCATTGTTTCCTTTTTTTTTTTCTCATTTATTTGTTCATTCAGAACAACTGGCCAGAGTATCATATATTTCAGGTACTGTGACAATACTGGATAAAAAGTAGGAACAAAGAGCTGTGGTCCCTGGGCTCATAGAATAGAGAGATAGTCAGTAATAAATAAATAGTTAAATACAAAGGCAGGAATGTGCTGGTGGTCCAGAGGTTAGAACTCCACACTCTCACTGCTGAGGGCCTATGTTCAATCCTCATCAGAGAATTAAAATGCCACAAGCTTTGGAGAGGCCCCCCAAAAAGGTAACTAAAACAGTAAGGTAATACAGCAAATGGCTGAGGATCTATAATTACCTCCTGAAAGGCAACGTGATACATGGAGGATACATGAAGGATCAGAAGGATCAGAAGTAGTAAGCAACAGAAAGAATAGGCTGAGGGGGCAGTTCCAGATAGAAGGAAAAATATGTGTAGGTAATCTCAAAGAATTGATGCTTTTGAACTGTCGTGTTGGAGAAGACTTTTGAGAGTCCCTTGGACAGCAAGGAGATCCAACCAGTATATCCTAGAGGAAATCAGTCCTGAATATTCACTGGAAGGACTGATGCTGAAGGTGAAACTCCAATACTTGGGCCACCTGATAGAAAGAACTGACTCATTTGAAAAGACCTTGATGCTGGGAATGATTGAAGGCAGGAGGTAAAGGGCATGACAGAGAATGAGATGGTTGGATGGCATCACTGACTCAATGGACATGAGTTTGAGTAAGCTCCGGGAGTTGGTGATGAACACGGAATCCTGGCGTACTGCAGTCCATGGGGTCACAAAGAGTCGGACATGACTGAGTGACTGAACTGAACTGAATCTCAAAGAAGACCATTATGGTCAGAGAATAGTGAGCAAGGAGGAGAACATAAAAGTTGGAAAAATAGTCAGAGCCTCTGAGAACTAGATGCCAGCAACTCTCCTCCTCCCAGTGTGACAACAAAATAATGTCTCCCAGGAATTGCAAAATATCTCTAGGGAAACAAAAGTGCCCATAATTGGAAATCACCGGATCAGGCTGTGGATCAAGGCAACTCAACCACAAAAGGAGTCTCTCTGCTCTAAAAGCTCCAGGAGAGACTCAGCACTTGGAAATACCACATGCGAAAAAGGAGACAGAGTGAAAAGAGGTTATAAAAGCTCGTCACATTTCTATACACTGGTAAAAACCAGTTTCAAAGAATTCATTTTGAAAAGATATCCATTAACAATGACTGAAAACAAACAAACCCCATATACACATAAAACCAAACAACAACAAAACAATCATCTGGGATTAAATTTAACTAAGATATACCAGACATTTAAGAAAATTATTTTAAAGCTCTACTGAAATACAGCAAATAAGTATAAATAAATGGTGTCAATTATATCTCTAGATTTCTAGATTTGAAGCACACTAAATCAAAATCCCAGTATGAGGGGATGTGAGTGTGTGTGTGTTCACTTGGTATGGGAAATAGAAAGGACAAGAAAAACTGCAATATACCTGAAGGAGATGATGATAAATCCAAGTATATGGGTTGAATGTTGGCCCCTTAAAAATACATTTGACTCTGGGAACATGTAAATGTGCCCTTACTTGGCAAAGAGTCTTTGCAGATGTAATTAAGGATATCAAGATGAGACCATTGTGTAGACATCATCCAGGAACACTTTGAATCCAATGATAAGTATCCTTATCAGAGTAGACAAACAAAGAAACCCGGAGAAGGCCAGGTGAGGATGGAGACAGAGATCAAGTTCATGTAGTCACGTGACAAGGAATGCCTGAGGCTACCAGAAGTTGGAATAGGCAAAGAGGAACTCTTCTCGAGAGACTTCCAAGGCTGCTGACATCTTAATTTTAAGATTTCTGGTCTCCATAACTGTGAGGGAATAAATTTCTGTTGTTTCAAGTCACTAGTTTTTTTGTAATTTGCTACAGCAGTCCTAGAAAATTAAATACAACATGTATCAACACATTGGCAAACTGTAGAGGTTAAAGTATCATGGTATTGACCAAATGAAAAACAAGCTGATGGATAGAACAGATTAGAGATCCCAGCAACATTCCACATCATATGTGGAAACCTGAATTGTGGTGGAAATGACATGGCAGATCAACCAGAAAAGGACCGACTATTCAATCAGTGGTGCTAAAACAACTGTTTATTCACATGGGGGAAAGAAGAAAATTAAATCCCTAAATCAACCATACTACAACTGCTACTAGCCATGCAATAGCCGAGACAGGGAAGCAAACTAGGTGTTCGTTGATGAATAAATGGATAAAGAAGATGTGGCATATACAGGCAATGGTATATTATTCAGCCATAAACAAGAATGAAACCTTGCCATTTTTGACAATTTACTGATGGACCTTGAAGGCTTTGTGCTAAATGAAGTAGGTCAGACAGAAAGATAAATACCATATGATCTCACTGATATAGAATCTAAACAGATAAGCAAAAAATACAAGTTCATATCTAGAGAACAGATTGGTGGTTACCAGAAGTGAGAGATGAAAGTTAGACAAAATGGTCTGAGGTGGTCAAAAGGTGCAAACTTCCAGTTATAAAATAAATAAGTTCTTTGGGATATAATGTATAACATGGTGACTATATATACTAAGACTTCATTGTATATTTGAAAGTTGCTAAGAGAGTAAATCTTAAAAGTCCTCATCATAAGAAGAAAAATTATTACTACCTGTGGTGTTGCATGTTAACTACACTTATGGTGGTGGTCCTTCTCAATTTATACAAATATCAACCATTATGTTGCACATCTGAAACTAACATAATGTTATGTATCAATTATATTTCAATTAAAAATAAAAAATATAAATAAAGCCACCTACCAATAAAATTTAAAAAGAACTGTGGCAACAAAATTGTCAAAACATTGTCCTACTTAAATGCAAAACCCTATTTAAATAGGTACGAAAAATAAACCAGTGTTGGTTTTCAACATTTAGAATGGATCTACATATAATCGAGCTATATAAGAATAAATAGCCAAATAGAATGCAAATACTTTCCTATGTTGTTAACAATGAAGAGAAAGGAGAGTGCAATTAAGAGTGAGAGTGCTAAAGTCCTCCTCCTTTAATTAAGAGATAATGTCTATCTTACATATGGTAATGTATGTGTTTCAATGCTATTCTCTCAAATCATCCCAACCTGTCCTTCTCCCACTGTGTCCAAAAGTCTGTTCTTTATGTCTGTGTCTCCTTTGCTGCCCTGCACATAAGATCGTTGGTACTATCTTTCCAGATTCCATATATATGAGTTAATATATGATATTTGTCTTTCTATTTCTGACTTACTTCACTAAGTATAATAGGCTCTAGTTTCATCCACTACATTAGAACTGACTCAAATGTGTTCTTTTTTATAGCTGAGTAATATTCCATTGTGTATATGTACTACAACTTCCTTATCCATTAATCTGCCAGAGGGATGGGGTAGGTGGGAAGTTTTGAGGGGGATTCAGGATGGAGGGTCACATGTATGCCAATGGTTGATTCAAGTTGATATGTGGCAGAAGCCATCACAATATTGTAATGTAATTATCTTCTAATTTAAATGCATAAGGAAATAAGTGTCTATAGCTAATCATAAAAACCATACTAATTAAGTCCCCTTTCTCTAGACCCCTTACTTCCCTGTTAGAATAACTCTCATGACCTTAAATTATACTCTAGTCTAATGCTGTGGGTTTTGCTAAAGAAATCTATAGTCTCCAAAGACATGTTCTTTATTAAACAAAAATAGACTCTTTTATTTGACTTTCTGCTATCACAGGCAAGGATTTTGCTTGCCTAATATACCTTAAAAAATTAGAAATGCCTTGATAATGCATTTCTAATGAAATGCCTAGGTTTCCAAGGAAAACCAAAATAATTGAGGGACATAACTAAATTTGAGATTCATAAGAATCATAGGCACACAGTCTTGTATGTGACCCTTCATGTGTTTCAAAAGCAAAATCACAAAATGATGAGGCAAAGCATCACAATCTGATATTCTTATGTTGAAAGAAAAGTTTAAGGGAAATGAACCAAGAAATAAAATCAAAAGAGTTTAAAAATTGATCTGTTTTTAACAGAGAAATTTAAATTTAAATATAACCTAAACTGAGAATACCTGCTTCAACCAACAATTTCCTCAGATGTTAGTTGCCTACTCTAATCTACATGTGTTTAATGGCATATGACACTACTCTAAATATTTTACATACATTAAGTTATTTAATCCTCACAACCATATGACCTACTATATTATCCTCATTTTATAGAAGAAGAAATTGAGCCATGGAGCAATCATGTTCCTGTAATAATCACATTCAACGTCAGGCAGAGAAACATTCATAAACCTTCAAAATTTCTATTGGGCTTACCATTCTCTCAATCTGATGACTCCTTTCTGTAAACTGTTTTGAGGTTCTCATTCCATAACATTCTCTGTATTTTATATTTGTAGCTTTAAAAGAGGCAAGATAGTAGAATGACTTATCACCTGAAGGGTAAAAATAAACAGAAGATCCACACTTAGACACGATCAATTGCTTGTCCCCTTCCCCCAGGAAATAGATTTATAATAACACAGCTTATTTCTTCTCAGCATTATACAATTAGTTGTAGTCATTTTAAAAAATATTGTGTAACTTTTATCATTGTATCCAGCTAAAATAGAGTGTACTTTCAGAACACACATTTATAGTGTCTATGTGTATAAAATTTTTCACACAATTAGATATGCAACATACAATGAAGATTCAAACACCAAAAACAATTGCTGACAGTCATATAATAAAAATTACCATTTTCCTTAAAGAATTGTAATATAGGTATATTATAACTAAGCTGTATTATGAAGCTATATTGGATGAGTGATCACTGTTTTCTACACTACTGACAAGATTACTTAAATACAAACCAATATTTTTAACGATAATGCTATATGCAAGACAGAAAAAGAGACACAGATGTATAGAGCAGACTCTTGGACTCTATGGGAGAAGGCGAGGGTGGGATGATCTGTGAGAACAGCATCGAAACACGTATATTATCAAGTGTGAAACAGACTGCCAGTCCAGGTTGGATGCATGACATAAGTGCTTGGGGCTGGTGCACTGGGATGACTCAGAGGGATGGGATGGGGAGGGAGGTGGGAGGAGGGTTCAGGATGGGGAACACATGTAAATCCATGGCTGATTCATGTCAATGTATGGCAAAAACCACTACAATATTGTAAAGTAATTAGCCTCCAACTAATAAAAATAAATGAAAAAAAAATATAAACCAATATTTTAAATTTGCATTTTCTTTTTGCCCATGCAGGCATCAATTCTCTGTAATGGACTCCTAACAAACCACTGTAGCTGCCGTTGTCAAGGGCAAAACAGTTGTCATATCTAACGCCATATTCTTTTGGTCTTTTTAAAAAATCATCTTGATTTCTTAGCAGACTTAATCATATTCCTTAAAAGCTTGTCTTTGGCTTTATGAAGCCATTGCTCTTGGCCTTGCACCAGTTACTTTGGAGAACTCTCTAGTTCTGTCCTTTGCTGTTGTTGTGTAGTGGCCAAGTCATGTTTGACTCTTGGGCAACCCAGCAGACTGTAGCCCTCCAGGCTCCTCTGTCCATGGGGTTATCCAGGCAAGAATACTGGGGTGGGTACCATTTCCTTCTTCAAGGGATCATCCTGATCCAGGGATTGTTACCATTTCCTTCTTCAAGGAATCTTCCTGACCTGGGAATTGAACCCATGTCTCTTGCATTGGCAGGAAGATTCTTTACCACTGAGCCACCAGGGAAGCCTACTTCTATCCTTAACCAGGATCATTTACCTCTTTTTAGATTCAAACCTTGCTTCATATCCTCTGTTTTCTTTCTTCTGAACAGCTTACTTGTCCATACAGTCATACAAAGCATGATTTAATTCTCATTTGCAATATACCATTTTTCAGTCTTAAGATCTATGAATGCAACTTATTAATATCTTTTGAATCCCTTATCCCACCCAGAAGAGTTATATCCTTAATTCACTTCCTCATCAAGCACCCAGCTAATGTCTATCCAAAACAAAATGACCTTTTTATTAAAAAAAGTACTCTGTCTAGATTCTCTATCTTAAATTCTGTCATTACAAGCTACTTCACGACCCATACTGGAAATTTTAAAGTTAACTTTGATCTCTTCCTATTAATCAACTGATTCTGAAAATTTTATCTCCTAAATTTTAAAACTTCATCATCTTTTCACAAATTCTATTGTCATTAATGCTCTGGTCCATTCCCTCATCATTTATTGCCTGGAAAATGTAACAACTTTATAACTAGTACCCTGCCTCATGTTCTGTTTTCCTCAGTTCTATTTCCCACATAGCAGCAGAAAAATCTTTTTAAATTGCAGATTTGACAATATCACTTCTCCAATTAAAACACCTTCATTTTTCCCCATTGCCAATTGGGAAGGAGTCATAGCACTTTACTATGATCCACAAAGGTTTTCCTTGACGTAGGCCCTGCCTACCTCTTGAGCATATTTTTTTGCCACATTCCCTTAATAATTTCTGTTGAAACTATAGCAGACTGCTTATATTTGTCTGCATTCATCACACGGTCTTCTTAAAATTTTTCTTACATTATCCTTTTCACCTTTTTATTGACCACTTCACTGAAGTGTAGGAGCTTCAGCTTCAGCATCAATTTTTCCAATGAATAGTCAGGTGCAGCCCAAGGACTTACCTTTGTATTAATTTCCTATTGCTGCTGTGACCAGTGACCACCAGTTTAGGTCAGAAGTCTGAAATGAGTTTTACAGGGCTCAAATTAAGACCTGTTTGTATCTCTGTTTGTTTTTTGGGGGGAACTAAGGAGTGAATCTTTTTCCTTGCTTTCTTTGGCTCCTAGAGGGATCCTCATTCCTTGGCCTGTGGTTATACATCACATTGTTTTCCTCTCTCCCTGCTTCTATTGTCACATAGCCTTCCTTCTTTGGGCTTTTTGCCTGTCCTTTATAAAGATACTAGGATTATATTTAGAGCCCATCCAGAAAATCCAGAGTAATGGCTCTTCAAAATCCTTGAAGCAATCGTATCTGGAAAGTCCCTTTTGCCATATGAGGTAATACACATCAGTCACAAAGTTTAAGAAGAAGATGTATTGGGGTGTGGGGATATTATTCAGCCTAACACAACTTTGTGATATTTTAAAAATATTTTTTCCCCATTATTTGTATTATTCCTTTACTTTTTTATTTCTTGAACACATGAAATATTGAAGATGAACTGCATTTTAAGCACAAAAGATATTAACAAGAAAGACATGGAGGTTAATGTAGTTTATTTTTTTATTATATGAGTTAAGAAATGAATATTATCAATCCCCCAATAAAGTAGGTAAGCTGGTAAGCTGAGCACATTGGACAATACTTCATCCCTACTTGGGAATTCTTTCAAATATGGTTTTATTGTTATGGGTCATACAATTCTGTAAAATTTTTGGCAAAGTCTCAGTCATATATGATTATAAAGACAAAGGTAAATGACTTTGGTTGATTATCATTTTTAAATGTGGCACTGACTCTATTTTTTCACCTAAGGTAGAATAAATCTGAGTTTTTCTTCTTCCTTCAGTCATAAAACAATGTCTTTTTTCTTTCAAAAATAAAGTTTAATCTTTAGCCCTTTAAAGATATTTTTCATGCAATAAAAATTATTAGTTTTTCTTAGAGCACCTCATAACATATTGATTTTGAAAAATATGTATGTTAAACTCAACACCCATGATGTGATTTGTCTTTATTCTAAAGATAATGTTTTCATTCTTTTTTAAAAAAATATGTATTTGTTTTTGTCTGTGTAATGATGTGAATATATTGCAAGCATCACTGGCTGGAAATATGAAACAGAGGACTCAATATTGGGGCAAACTATAATTTAACATCAGTAAAAGAATAGTAATTAAAATGCTAATAGCATGCAAATGGAATTTTTATATGACTGAGAATTTCAAGATACTAAGCCATGGAGCACTGAGGCAATAGAAATGTGACCTGTATACTTACCCTCAACAACAAAATGAGTAACAATACCAATGGCAATTCCTATGATTGCTATGATTGCCAGTGTGAAAAGAGATAGGCTTATAGGGCCCCTGCATTGCTGTCTTCTTTGATGTTCAACTTGTGGGTAATCAGCTTGTGAACATTCAAGTGGTCTGTGATAATGGAAAGAAAAACAGTAAGGTAAAAAAAATTGTAGTACAGTTTTATTCCAAGTCCACATGTGATATAACTGTGAAAATAGTTTCTACTGCTAATTCACAATAAGATACTTAGATTTTGATAGGAACACAAGGTTTTGTTTACCCTCCCCCAGCACCTCAATCCCAGTATGTTTTAATTAAAGCTCTACCGATGTTGACATTGAAGGGAGGCCATCTCCCCTCTACATTTTGTCAAACATATTGGCAATTTGAAATTTGGGTGGTGAAGTACAAAGGCTCATGTAATAAAAAGGTAATTTACAGATAACATTTTAATATTAAAAAAAAAACTTTTAGCAATAAAGTTGTATAATAACCTCACTGGTATCTCTTGATTAAAAATAAGGTTTTAATTTGTATACTTTTCAATGACCTTGAACTTTTTATTGCTTATTTTAAAAGTAACAACACAATAGAGAAAAGATAGTCTCTTCAATAAGTGGTGCTGGGAAAACTGGACAACCATGTATAAAAGAATGAAATTAGAACACTTCCTAACACCATACACAAAGATAAACTTGAAATGGATTGAAGACCTAAATAAAGACCAGAAACTATAAAACTCTTAGAGGAAAATATAGGCAGGACAGCCTTTGACTTAAATCAGGGCAAGATCTTCTATGACCCACCTCCTAGAGTAATGAAAATAAAAACAAAAATAAACAAACAGGACAAATTAAACTTAAAACCTTTTGCACAGTAAAGGAAAGCATAAATAAGATGAAAATAAAGCATTCAGAATGGGAGAAAATAATTGTAAATGAAGCAATTGGCAAAACATACAAGCAGTACATACAACTCAATATCAGAAAAAAAAAAAAAGGCAGCCCAATCAAAACATGGGAAGAAGACTTAAACAGACATTTCTCCAAAGAACTCATCCAGATAGCTAATAAACAGATGAAAAGATGCATAACATCACTAATTATTAGAGAAATGCAAATCAAAATTATAATTAGGTACCACCTCACACTGGTAGGAATGGCCATCATCAAGTATTACAAACAATAAATGCTGGAGAGAGTATGGATAAAAGGAAACCCTCTTGCACTGTTGGTGGGAATATAAATTTATATAGCCACTCTTGAGAATAGTATGAAGATTCCTTAAAAGAAAACCAGGAATAAAACTACCATATGATCTAGCAATCCCACTACTAGGCATATACCCTGAGGAAACCAAAATTTAAAAAGATACATGTACCCCAGTGTTCAATGCAGCACTATTGACAATAGTCAGGACATGGAGGAAGCCCCAGATGTTCATCAACAGATGAATGGATGAGAAAATGTGGTGCATATATACAATAGAATATTAAAAGGAAAGAGATTGAGTCAGTTTTAGTAAGGTGGGTGAACCAAGAGCCTGTTATACAGAGTGAAGAAAGTCAGAAAGAGAAAAACAAATATCATATATTAATGCATGTATATGGAATCTAGAAAAATGCTACAGATGAACTTATTTGTAGGGCAGCAACAGAGACGCTGATGTAAACAGACTTGTGGACACAGTGGGGGAAGGAATGGGTGGGATGAATTGAGAGAGTAGCATTGAAACATATACATTACCATATGTAAAATAGCCAGTGGGAATTTGCTCTATGGTTCAGGGAGTTCAATCCCATGCTCTACAACAACCTAGAGGGATGTGATGGGGTGGGAGGTGGGAGGGAGTTTGAAGGGGGGAAGACATAGGTATCCCCATGGTTGATTCATGTTGATATACGGCAGAAACCACCAAAACCTTGCAAAGCAATTATCCTCCAATTAAAGTGTTTTTTTTTAGTAACAACATTGCTCTTGAAGTCCTGACTACAGTTCTTCCTATTTTTATTGGTGAAACCACAAATTGCAAGTTATACTTAATAAGATGTCAGTCCGTACGAAAACTCTTCATTTCCATTTTACACTTGTTGTTGCTCAGATGCTAAGTTGTGTCTGACTCTTTGGACCACATGGACCACAGCATGCCAGGCCTTGCTTTCCTTCAATATCTCCCAGAATTTGCTCAAACTCATGACTCTTGAGATGGTGATGCCATCCAACAGTCTCATCCTCTGTTGCTCCCTTCTTCTGCCCTCAATCTTTCCCAGCATCTGGGTCTTTTCCAGTGAGTCAGCTCTTTACATCAGGTGGCCAAAGTATTGGAGTTTCAGCTTCAATATCAGCCCCCCAATGAAAATCCAGGGTTGATTTTCTTTAGAATTGACAGGTTTGATCTCCTTACTGTCCAATGAACTCTTTTGAGTCTTCAGCACCACAATTCAAAAGCATCAATTATCCATGGCTGATTCATGTCAATGTATGACAAAAACCACTACAATATTGTAAAGTAATTAGCCTCCAACTAATAATAAAAAAAAAAAGCATCAATTCTTTGGCCCTCAGCCTTCTTTACGGTCCAACTCTCACATCTGTACATCACCATTGGCAAACCCATAGCTTTGACTATATGGACTTTTGTCAGCAAAGTGATGTCTCTGCTTTTTAATACACTGTCTAAGTTTGTCATAGATTTCCTTCCAAGGAGCAAGCGTCTTTTAATTTTGTGGCTGCTGTCAACCTCTGCAGTTATTTTGGAGCCCAAGAANATAAGAGAAGAAAGGAACAGAGGAAAAAATAGTATGTACAAAAAATAAAAACAAAATACACTAGGGAGGTGACACAATATTTTGCAATAATAGTTATACTGGGAAAATACAAACATAAAGTATGAATTTTGCCCTTAAACAATTATTTCTTCCAAAGGATATCCATGATGGCAAGTCTTTCACAGCATTATTGTACTCAAAAGAGGACATGGTAAGGCTGGAGGGTTGGACCAGCTCATGAGGAGTCTTATAACCCAAAGTAAAGAGCTTGAAATTGATTCTGTCGAAGGTGAGGTGAGGAACCAATAAGTTTTAGTTAGGCTGAGAATTTAGAATAATCACAGAGGTATGAATGAAATTTACAGCTAGAGTGCAGATGGAAAGACCAGTTTAGATGTCATTTTGAAGGTCCAGGTGAAAGGGTGATGGCTTGTACTAAGGCTGAGAGAGTAAGTAGGGTGAAGAGGAGAAAATGGATTTTGCTCTGGTCCTTGAGCTTTGTTGATTTCTTAGTTGTGAGACCAGGAGAAAATTAATGGCTCCCTTGTTTCCATGATTGTGCCTCCAGGCAAGATGATGAAAATTAAATGAAAAGAAAGTGTTTCCAATGTAGACATAAATGTTGTTAATAATGAGCAGTGTATGTTCCTCATATTTGGTCTCAAGTGGGAAGTATCCATTTTACATCATCTCTTTGACTCATTTTATTTTAATTTTGTCACTAACACCTGTTTGTATGACTGTAATAAAAGTAACTATTAAAGTTGATATCACACAGCCCAGAAATAATAAAAAAAAGTTACTTCTGTCTCCACATAAGTAATATATTCCTTCTCATTCATAACTGAAATCTCCAGCTCCCAAATCTATGACATTAAATATTCTCGATTGTTTAGTTATAGATATTTTGTTTGCTGCAACTTTAAAAAATTATCACTTCCTTTTCCTGTAAGTTTTGTCAGTTTGGTTTTAGTACTCAGCCCTTCAGAAAGCAAGAAATGATAAAAATCAAATTTATGGGGATGATGTTATTAATCATGATATTACATCATGATAATTCTATCTTACAAAAGAGAATTTTTATCATGGCCATATTTAATTTTAAAATGAGTTTTGTTTGGTAATCAGCCATTCTCAGTCTGTTACAGCTGGAATATAGACCTTCTGTCTCATGTGGGAGCCTAAATAAGTTTTACCAAATACTCATTTCTATAAAGTAGAGCTGGTGAGAGCATTATGCAGACACCAGATAATTATAAAGGAAGCGGTTTTACCCTAATGGAGAAAAATAAGGTGGTAAAAACCAAACAAAGCATTCAGGAAATTTAAAGAAGTTTATTAGCTAGACTGTTGTGAAATGTTTGTATGAGCATAATATACAAATGCATTCAAGGCAGTTTTAAGTGTGCAAAGAACTTTGAGAACTTGGCTATGATAAATTGGATTTTTTCAAATTGTATAACTGGTTCAAACTTTGAAAAAAGATGCTTTATTTTAGTTACATTTAAATTCCCTTTACATTATTCCCATATGTTTATTCTGATTTGTAGATTACAATTATTTATTCGTCAAATGTGATTCAGATGACAAAGGGAACTTTTTACTGTCTTTAATAGTGCCTAGTATTTGATCTGTTTAAAAGAGAATTAAGCCTAAATTTGTCCTTTAAAAATGCATTAAAATGAACAAAATACAGGAACTAAAGCCTTTTGGTAACTTAAATAGAAATAAAACTCGAGTGGTTACACAAATGAAGTATGTATGGAAACAGCACTAGAAAAAGTATGACATTCAGCATCAGAAATCTAAGGTTCAAGTCTTTGGTCATATATTGATCCTTTTGTCTTGATGCTCTAAGAATCCCTTGTCTATCAAATTAGAGTGATGATATCACCCCCACCCCATTTCAATGTGGTTGTATTTTAAGAAAGTATATTTGAGACATTTCCTAATTCTGAAGAACTTCTGTATGAATAGAAATTGTCAGAAACCAGAAGCTTTTCTTAGAAAAATAATAGATTATTCTAATACTCTGCATCTAATGCTAATAATGCATAGCATAATTCCTGAAATAAATGTTGCTGCTCTTGGACAAATGAATGAATGATGAATGAAAGAACGGCAGTCTAGGTCCTACATCCAGAAAAATCACTTGCATATAAAAGCTAAACAATTCTAAAATGTGTTATTATCAATACTTACCAAACAATTGTATCACAAACACTATGTTTTAGGCACTAATCATTATTGGATACACAGTAAATAAAATGAAAACACATTATCCTTGCTGTCACAGTGTTTGTAGTCTAGAAGAGAGGAAAGATAAAACTAGTAAGCATAGAGATCCTGAAAAGTTGGGATA